CGTTGAAGAAAAGATAAACTCTAGTATTGTTGTTCCTTCATGGACGTTGTTGAATAAGAAAACTAATCAAGAAACTCTTCACAAATCCATTAATAAGTCAATCTTCCATGGAAAAATTGCTGGAAATGCTGAAAAAAGTTCAATTCCCATGGAACTTTTCAGTTTTCAAGTTGAATCAGGTCATGAAAATGTTTCATCAACAGTTGAAAATCGTTCTTCAAGTCCTATAAATTATTCATCCAGCGCTGAAAATGATTCAAGTCCTAAAGATACTTCAGCAAGTCCACTGAACTCGCCAAGTCCTGTAAATTTGTCATCAAGTCCACAAGATAAGCCTTCAAGTCCTGTAAACTCTGTTGCTGAAGACTTGCCCTCAACCACGCCCATTAAATCCGGTGTGCTTGTCTAGGGGTTTTAAATGTAATTACTAAATGCTAAGGACACTAAGGACTAAATGCCAAGAACACTAAGGACTAAATGCTAAGGACACTAAGGACTAAATGCCAAGAACACTAAGGACTGAATGCTAAGGACACTAAGAACACTAAGGGATATCTGATAAGACACTAAGAACTGTCTGCTAAGGACACTAAGGACTGTCTGATGAAGGATATACTATGACCATCTGAGAGGATACTAAGAGCTACGTAACTGCTAAGGACACTGAGGATGATTAGGACTATCTACTAAGGACTAATTGTCGAAGTTTTTTTAATATGTACCACTTTGATTCTTAACCATTTGGTGACCCAGGCAGGAATAGCATTAAAGCTAACCTTAATACTATTGAACCCTAATTCTGGTAGGAATAGCATTAAGATATTGAAACATGAATGAGCAGACATGGGCATTAATGTGAGCAGGAATGTGCAGACATGGGCATTAATGTGAGCAGGGATGTGCAGACATGGGCATTAATGTATGTGCAGACATGGGCATTAATGTCAGCAGGGATGTGCAGACATGGGCATTAATGTGAGCAGGGATGTGCAGACATGGGCATTAATGTGAGCAGGAATGTGCAGACATGGCATTAATGTGAGCAGGAATGTGCAGACATGGGCATTAATGTCATAACTTAGCTCTTGTAGAAACATTATAAATTTTATTCCATTTTAACTACATTTTAAAATAATATTTCATGTAGGAACATTATTTTTAATGATATTGCACACATACAGTGTATGTTTTTTCAATGTTTCATGCTGACACAGCATTTTTACTGATATTTCAAAGAGGAATGCAATTAAAAAATAATATTGAAACAATTTTAATGCAGAAAATTTTATTGATCTTCCAATAATGTCATAATTTATATTATTATTAAAATGTCTATGTATTTGTGTAGAAATGGTCATGTTCAATAATTTTGTTTGGTCTATTGAGATTTCATGTTATTTTATTTGCTTAATTAACTTGGGATGATATTTTCTACAACAAATATTAAAACAGATTCAGTATTTCAGGTCCACTTGAATGGGGATGTATTTTGTTTAGGTTAAGGAGTTACATTTATTTAAATTTTGTTTAATAGGGTACGAGAATTTTTTATTAACATGAGACAGATAAGAATTTTATGGTAGATGACTTTTGCAAATTTAAATTTCTTTTTAAATTGAATTTTAGCCTTTAAAATTTGTTAAAGATTTTAACTTCGTGTCACAAGCAGGGTAATGCAGCCAAAATTGCAACTCAATTGCCAAGGGGATTTATATTAGGAGAAAGCTTACCCCCTATATCTTGGGGTATAGGGGTAAAATTAGCCAACATTTTACCCCATAACTCGGGTGTCTAGGGGTAAATTTAGCCAACATTTTACCCTATAACTCTGGGGTCTAGGGGTAAGTTTAGCCAACGTTTTACCCCATAACTCAGAGGTCTAGGGGCTAAAACTGGCCCATATTTACCCCATAACTTTGGGGTCTAGGGGTAAATTTAGCCAACATTTACCCCATAACTCTGCGGTCTAGGGTCTAAATTTAGCCAACATTTACCCCATAACTCCGGGGTCTAGGGGCTAAAACTGGCCCATATTTACCCCATAACTCTGGGGTCTAGGGGCTAAAACTGGCCGATATTTACCCCATAACGTCAGGGGTCTAGGGTAAATGCTGCTAAGAGGATTAGATTGCCATTGGTATAATTGGTGCCAAAAGATATTTCTAGTTTGAATTCAATTGTATTATTATCATATTTAAATATAAATTAATTTTATTACATCTCATGAGGCAAACAAAGTGAATATTGTGTATCATAAGCTGGAGTTACTTAGTAACTTGTATTATAATTAAGCTGCCATAGTGTCTAAGTAACGATAAGATCGCCAAACTCATAACGCCTTAGTTTAAGTTATTGAAAAGTTGTCAACTTGTGCCAAATTTTGTGGCACAAAAATCAACTTGTGCCAAGTTCCGTGGCACAAAAATCAACTTGTGCCAAGTTTGTGGCACAGAAATCAACTTGTGCCAAGCTCTGTGGCACAAAAATCAACTTGTGCCAAGCTCTGTGGCACAAAAAAGTACTCAAACCTCACAGGGACTTTACCAATATTGAAGGATAGGATAGGATGAAATTAAGCTTTTAATATTATAACATTAACAATGAACAATACTTGTTGGAGGTTCAGAGTGTTGCAGTCCCAGGCCACACTTAGGGTGTTGCAGTCCCAGGCCACGCTTAGGGTGTTGCAGTCCCAGGCCACGCTTAGGGTGTTGCAGTCCCAGGCCACGCTTAGGGTGTTGCAGTCCCAGGCCACGCTTAGGGTGNATTGTCCCCTATTTTCTCTCTATATTGTCCCCTATTTTCTCTCTATATTGTCCCCTATTTTCTCTCTATATTGTCCCCTATTTTCTCTCTATATTGTCCCCTATTTTCTCTCTATATTGTCCCCTATTTTCTCTCTATATTGTCCCCTATTTTCTCTCTATATTGTCCCCTATTTTCTCTCTATATTGTCCCCTATTTTCTCTCTATATTGTCCCCTATTTTCTCTCTATATTGTCCCCTATTTTCTCTCTATATTGTCCCCTATTTTCTCTCTATATTGTCCCCTATTTTCTCTCTATATTGTCCCCTATTTTCTCTCTATATTGTCCCCTATTTTCTCTCTATATTGTCCCCTATTTTCTCTCTATATTGTCCCCTATTTTCTCTCTATATTGTCCCCTATTTTCTCTCTATATTGTCCCCTATTTTCTCTCTATATTGTCCCCTATTTTCTCTCTATATTGTCCCCTATTTTCTCTCTATATTGTCCCCTATTTTCTCTCTATATTGTCCCCTATTTTCTCTCTATATTGTCCCCTATTTTCTCTCTATATTGTCCCCTATTTTCTCTCTATATTGTCCCCTATTTTCTCTCTATATTGTCCCCTATTTTCTCCCTATATTGTCCCCTATTTTCTCTCTATATTGTCCCCTATTTTCTCTCAGTATTGTCCGCTTTTTTCCCTCTATATTATTCCCTATATTTCCCTATAAGTTAAATTCCTAATTCTAAAAAAAATTCATCCTCTTATGAGATGAATTTCTTCGATGCCTCTATTTCAAATTATCGCAAACGTATTATAAGTATTATTATTATAGATATTTTTTGGTTATTTCTTTTTAAATATTGTAAATTTTAAGAAAATTAGACATTTTTTCACAATTTTGATTCGCTAAGTTCATTTTTAAAATAATTTAAATTGAATTATTGCGTACGTTTTATTTACTTTACGCTTCCTCAGTGCGATTCTCAACCTAATAATTGATGTACAAATTATGAGGATATTAATAAGGCCGCTAATTGAATAATGGAATTAAATTGATTTTAATTAAATGAATAAAATAAGAATATAAATTAATAGAAAAAATCTTGATTTTACAGCTAAACCGAGAGAAGACTAACTTTTTAGCCTAATTAATGACTCAAATTTATGTTATTTGATCAATTTTTTGTGTTATTATTTTGTTATCAAATATTCAAGTTTGTTTTGTAATTAAATACTCGTCTATGTGTACATGAAATGAGTGTCATTTCCAATGCTATTCCTACCTGAGCTGGCAAAAATCATGTACAAATTCGCGGCGTGATTTTCTGCCGCCGTTTATTGCCAATTTAACAGGGTAGACGTAACGGCGGTAATTTGATCATAACATGGCGATAATTTGATCGTAATGTGGGTGTTGCGTGGCGGTCATTTGATCGTTTCTTGGTTGTAGCCCGGCGGTCATTTGATCGTAACTTATTTGTAAGGTTGATTGTAGTCTAGACTTAACCTGGCGATCAATTGATCGAAAAGTGGTTGTAACCGTGACCTGGCGGTGACTTGATTGTAACCTGACAGCTGACGTCTCAATATACTGGAACTTTATCTATTTTTTAATTATCCTGTAATGACCTTAATCTATTATGAATAATTATAATAGTAGGAATGATTATTAAAATATTAAAATACCGAGTCTTTTGAATGGATAAAACAAACACGGAAGAATATTTGCGTAAAAAAGTTATATTTTAAAGTATAAATGCTCGAGTGGGAAGTGTTATTCAGGGCTAAATTCTTTGCACCTGCGAGGTATTCAGGGCAGAATTGTTGGCATCTGCGAGGTATTCAGGGCAGAATTGTTGGCATCTGCGATGTATTCAGGGCAGAATTGTTGGCATCTGCGATGTATTCAGGGCAGAATTGTTGACATCTGCGAGGTATTCATGGCAGAATTGTTGGCATCTGCGAGGTATTCAGGGCAGAATTGTTAGCATCTGCGCGGTATTCAGGGCAGAATTGTTGGCATCTGCGCGGTATTCAGGGCAGAATTATTGGCATCTGCGAGGTATTCAGGGCAGAATTATTGGCATCTGCGCGGTATTCAGGGCAGAATTGTTGGCATCTGCGCCGTATTCAGGGCAGAATTGTTGGCATCTGCGAGGTATTCAGGGCAGAATTGTTGGCATCTGCGAGGTATTCAGGGCAGAATTGTTGGCATCTGCGAGGTATTCAGGGCAGAATTGTTGGCCCCTACGAAGTATTCAGTGCAGCATTATCCTGACGAGGCTTCTCAGGATGGTATTCTCCATCCAGGATAAGGAGAAGGGACAAACCGCCGTAGCGCGGCAGAGATAACGAGCGTTCTGCGCAAGGGACAAATTTTGTTGTGTAAAATAATATTAAAATAATTTTAATATAACAAGTTTGAAATTCCATGTATTTAATCAAAATTAAATGCTTAAAAAAATTTAAATAAGAAATACAAAAAATTGACTTCCACCTGCCATGGACACTTGATTTCGTAAATCAATGCCGATTGAATATATTTACTTAATTAATCTTAGCTAATTGAATAGTAAAATCTTTTATATAGGAGCCCGAGAGCAATCGTTAAAAGTGGTATGTTAATTTATTAAAAAGTATTGTAAGCTTTAAGAAAAAAGAAATAATGTTAAATAAAACGACGAACCGATGTTATATAATCTCTTCTAATACAAAATCTTCAGTAAAATCTCATCACTTGCCTCGATGTCATGCGACACATCCTCCATGATGACATCTCGTATAGTCTGTCTTGGTAAGTTTGGTCTTCCTCCCAGTCGTTTTCTGTGAGGAGTAATCGTGAAAGGAAAGTTTTTCTTGAAGGGAGACTCTTGCAGTTCTTTGAAGATGAGTTTGGGGTCGTAAGGGGGAAGTTTTGTATGCATGTGTGCTCTGTTTTTGTGTGGGATTAGAGGTCTGTCTGAATTGGATACTGAATAGAAATGATTATTTTTCTTATAATTAACATTATTATTATTGTACGAGTGACGATACGGCTTTGTATTTTCGTACATATGTTTTTGGTTTCGATATTCGTCATGAGGATTCGTTTGTCGAATTGTGTTCAAATTGTTATCATGAAGGCTTTTGTCATAATTTTGTTTTTGCCCATATGTGAAGTGTTGGTTGGTTTTTGATGTTCTTTCTCTGGTTGGGATTTCGACTTTGTTGAGAAATTCTTTGCTTTTGGGTGATCGTACTTCCATTATATTCATGTTTTCATTCGACCAAACGTGGCTCCCTGGGAAACTTTCTGCAGCTTGACTCGCCCGATGAACTTTAGTTTCCGCGGGAAAAGAAACTAAACTTTTTTCCCTTCCGTTCGAGGAGAGCTTCCTCCTATTCAACGGCTTAGAAACTTCTTTAACTTCACTCGGGCGACGCATAAAGTTGTGGGAATTCGTAAAATGAATTCCCAGTGATTGTGTCATGTTTTTTCTGATAGCTTCGTTGCTCTCGACCATGTCATTCTCGTCCATTTTGTCCACTGAAGTTTCCGTTTGTGAATTTTGCATTTCCAAATCTGATGGAGATCGATTATAAGAGTTGACAGAATTTCCCCCGTTGTTCGACTGAAATTTCCTGACGTCATTTTTCGGGTAAAAATTATGTTTCGGTGCTGTCAAACCCGTAGGAATTTCACGGTAGTTCCATTGTTCGTTGGTGAACCCCTCTTTGTTTTTGCTTGCACTTGAATTGTTGTCATTGGCAGTCGTTTTCAATACTTTGTCTTCAGTTACATCGGATTTTTTATGAGTAATTTGTGTTTTGTCGTTGAAGTTTTTGTTTTTGGCATTTATATTCTCGTAAATATCGTTTTTTGAAATTGTTTTTCCGTGCTTGTTATCGATTAGTTCGTTGTGCGTCGCTTTTTCGAGTTTTTGGTCAGTGTTCACTTTGGGTTTGGGTGGTGGGGTGAGAGTGGTATTGGGTTTGGGGGGATGGTGTTTGGGTGGTAGGGATATGAACTGTTCAAATTTGGGTGGTGGGGTGAGGGTAGTATTGGGTTCAGGGGGTTGGGTGAAGGATGGTTCTTGTTCGGGTGGTGGGGTGAGGGTGGTGTCTGGGGGTTGGGTGACCTGCTGTTCGGAGTTGAGGGGTGGGGTGAGGGTGGTTTTGGGTTTGGGTGGTTGGGTGAGGGCTGGTTTAAATTTGGGTGGCGGGGTGAATGTGGTGTCTGGTGGTGGGGTGAGGGTGGTGTCTGGTGGTGGGGTGAGGGACTGTTCAGATTTACGCGGTGGGGTGAGGATGGTATTGGGTTTGGGTGGTAGGGATAGAAAATGTTTAAATTTGGGTGATGTGATTCGGGTGGTTGTGGGTTTGACTGGTTGGGATTCGGGTGGTGGTGGGGTGAGGGTGGATGATAAATACATTGCATCTGCCTTATGAGTAGCAAGACTCCTATTAAACATGTGTCCATTATTACGAGGAGATCGAAACTGAATTGCGTTAGATAATGGTGAGAGTGGTGTCTGGTGGTGGGGTGAGGGACTGTTCGGATTTACGCGGTGGGGTGAGGGTGGTATTGGGTTTGGGTGGTAGGGATAGAAATTGTTTCAATTTGGGTGGTGTGATTCGGATGGTTGTGGGTTTCGCTGGTTGGGGTCCCGGTGGTGGGGTGAGGGTGAATGATAAATACATTGCATGTGCCTTATGAGTAGCAAGACTCCTATTAAACATGTGTCCATTATTACGAGAAGATCGAAACTGAATTGCGTTAGATAACCTGTTCAAAATTTGATTCTCCGTGATAAGGTTACTGTTTCGACTAATAGGTTCGAAATACAAAGGTTCTGATACTTTATATCCAAATTCGTGTCTCGGGGTTTGTGATTCTTGCTTATGAATTCTCTCAAAATTTCGAGTTTCAGAAACAGATTTCGGAATTTTCCCTTCGGTATGTGATGGACTGGAGACTGGAAAGTCCTTCTCCACCACATATGGGACTTGATGTGGAATTGTAAAATTGTGAATGAGTTCCTTATGAGTCACGGAAACTGATTTTGGAATTGGAAGTCTGGTAATAGCGACATAATCGTGCAGTAACTGGGAGGTAACATTACTGCCATTAGAACGGAAACTGATGAAAGCCATAATGAAGATAAGGAGACTTGCGCGCATCGTGGATACATGAACGCTGGAGAAAACAATCGTCATTGTGTCTAATAATATAATTATTAATAATATTTTTATGTATAATATCGTCTTTGAATCGGTTATAAAACATACATACTGACACTGTGTGTATTTATTATAGTTCATATATACGTGAATACGGTGTATGGGTATATGAGTGTGGCTTCAGGAACTATATATATAATTGCGTGTCGTGTCTCGAGTCTCTAAACTGTTTTTCGATGCGTAAATAATGGTATAAAGTACCGTGCTGCGGTGCTATAATACGTAACTCAAATGTGATAATTACAGCAATAAAGCACGTGCTCTGAAAAAAAATCTGTAACGGAAACGAAACGTTGATAAAATACAAGAATTGATTACGAAAATTCGATGAAACAATTCCGAACATTTAGCATTCCTCTATTAGCATGCATTAAAATTGCATCGAATTAGTATGCAATAGATTTTCAGATTAGGTAGTTATCATTGTTTAAATAATTCTATACGTTTTATTAATAATTGATAATTGGAGACCGTCATGTAGATACTTAAACACAATAATGCTGGAATTAATACATAACAAAAACTGAAATTAAATTACCATAATAATATGAAATGATTAAATTAAAATAAACCGGACTAAAGAAAAAAAATATTATTTTATATATCACTAAATAAATTATTGGTAAAAATAGAAAAAATATTTTATAAGATATTATAAGGATATTAACGCCCCCCCATGAAGGGGAGGTGGGGGTGGGGAGCTCGCTTTCCCCCGGGGTCTACGCCGCCCCCCGTTNCTTAGAACTAACTAACTTAACTAAACTCTACTACTTAAACTGCAGTAGAACTACATTTTTGATGGCTAACACGTAGAATTAACGTATATATGGCAATTACATAAATTCACGCACGTATAAACTGGTTCGTTTTTTTAAGCTTATGGTTCGTTTTTTTCTGGTTAGAAGAAGAATGCATTTTGTTAAGTTAACTTACTAATTCGGATGTTCAACAAATAGATACACAATATTATCAGCATGAAACATGACTCTATCGTTCACTTAACATTCATCGTACTGTATATTCATGAATAAAATGCATTGTATTCAGTTCAAAAATGATCATATCCTTTTCTTGTAACATAAAGACTATATGAATTCTAGTTAATTGTATGCAGTTCATAAATCATCATATTTTTTCTACATAAACATTATATTTTACACAAGCCGCCTTATTTTCAAGCATTAAATAACATCACACGAGCGCGACAACGCACACCCCCTCCTGCTGTGACGTCCCCGTCACGACTGAAGCCTGGATTGTGATATGCGCGCGACACGCGACATAAGCTTATACTTTCTTCTCTTGAGCGTGCGGTTGCCGCGTGAAGATGTCACTCCAGATGTCATGCTACTGCAGATGTCATGCTACTCCAGATGTCATGCTGCTGCAGATGTCATGCTACTCCAGATGTCATGCTGCTGCAGATGTCATGCTACTCCAGATGTCATGCTACTGCAGATGTCATGCTACTGCAGATGTCATGCTACTGCAGATGTCATGCTACTGCAGATGTCATGCTACTACAGATGTCATGCTACTGCACATGTCATGCTACTGCAGATGTCATGCTACTGCAGATGTCATGCTACTGCAGATGTCATGCTACTGCAGATGCTGCTTCGATTTCACAATTTACTAATAACAAAAAAATTATTATTATCATATTTAATGTTCGAAAATCACGTGAAGTAACAGAAATATAAAAAAAATTGTGTGATTGATAAAATCAATCACACAATTTTTAACATTTCGCAAAAACTTCTGTAGTTTATACGAATGTGAATATATATCATTGTGAATGTGAATATAATTTATATCATTTGTTGTTAAGAATTTGTGCAGAAAAATTTCAAGTGACGCGTTTAATACAAAATATCTTAATTAGAATTTGTAGGCATTTGACAAGGATGCCTCTTGTCTCCGCTTCTCTTCAACCTCTACACAGAAGAGATGGCCACGAGGGTGAGGAGAATGGATGTTGGTGTGCCTGTAGGCGGCGAAAGCTTAAAAATGCTGATGGTGCTGTGATTATAAGTGTAAATAGCGAGGAACTACAAAGTATGCAGGACTGTGTGACCGGGTATACGAGGGTATAACAATAATAATAATAAAATGGTTTCAGCGTTATTTAGGCCGTAGGCCTTTTGCCGATTCATAAAATCGTAGAATATTCACAGCTAGTTGCGGTCTCGAAAACGCAACTCACTGCTACAATTCTGCTGTGCTTAACCGCCCGGCCTCCTTGCCGATTCTGACCAGAAACTGGCGCACAGAGCTGGGATCGAACCCGCGCCTCTCTGCGCCAATCTTGGTACTCTGAACTGTAACCACTGGGCCACCCTGCCTTGCCCTGCCACCCCATGGCTATTGGGAGAGAATGAGATTGTTAGGACAAATGAGTCTAGGTACTCAGCGGGTGTGTGTGGCCCAGGAGGGATGTCAGAGGACAAAGGCCGTGAATTCAAGTAAGGCGAATCAATGGTTGTGAAGTGCAGCAAAAGTGAGAGCTCGAGTAAGTATGAAGTATTGAGGGAAGTGTGAAAGAGTGTGGCAGTGCCTAGTATTATGTATGGATTGGATGTGATAGCATATAATGATGGCGAGCTATAATATAAACTGGAAATGGTTCAGAAAAGAGTGGCGAGATTGGCACTTGGTGTCCTCAGGTGGACTGCTGTGGTGTTTCAGCGTTATTTAGGCCGTAGGCCTGTCGCCGATTCATAAAATCGTCGAATATTAACAGCTTGTTGCGGTCTCGAGCTCGCAACTCACTGCTACAATTCTGCTGTGCTTAACCGCCCGGCCTTCTCGCCGATTCTGACCAGAAACTGGCGCACAGAGCTGGGATCGAACCCGCGCCTGTCTGCGCCGATCTTGGTACTCTGAACTGTAACCACTGGGCCACCCTGCCTTGCCCTGCCACCCCATGGCTGTTGGGAGGGAATGAGATTGATAGGACAAATGAGTCTAGGTACTCAGAAGGTGTGTGTGGACCACGAGGGATGTCCGAGAACAAAGGCCGCGAATTCAAGAAGGCGAATCAATGGTTGGGAAGTGCAGCAAAAGTGACAGCGAGTAAGTATGATGTATTGAGGGAAGTGTGAATGTGCCTAGTATTATGTATGGATTGGATGTGATAGCATATAATGATGGTGAGCTACATAAACTACTGGAATTAGTACAGAATTGAGTGGCGAGATTGGCCCTAGGAGCCCCCAGGTGGACTGTGCATGGTAGAAGGCCCTGAGAGGGGACATGGGATGGAGTACCTTCAAGGAGAGAAGAATGAGATCAGTTTTGAGGTATAAAGTGAGACTGGAGCGAATGGACGATGAACGTTTGGCACGAAAGATGTATATGTGGAACATGAAGGTGAGCAAATGGGCATGTAAATGTCGTGCATTGATACGTAAGTGTGGTATGCACGAAGCGTGGGTGCACCATGGACAAGCTGGACCAAAGGACGAATGGGTGGTGACAGTACGGGTTGCGATAAGGATAGAGTCGTATGAAAAAGAGTGGAAAAGAGAAATAAATTAACGAGTGAAATACTATGGGTTAAAGGTGCGGAAGCAAAGAATGGAGGGAAAGGGCTCTCTGAAACTCTGTAAGATGAAAGCGATGCCAAAATATGATCGTATATGTAGGTATGATGGTAGTAGAGGTGGGGACTTTCTTTTTTGAGTTAGGGGGGGGGGGCGCTATAGGGGTGAATGGACGTACATACAGGTGGATTGAGAAGAGGGAAGATAAATGTTTTATGTGTGATGGGGATGAGAAGGAAACTGCAGAGCACTTGGTGATGGAATGTGTGGCGTATGAGAGAGAGCGTCTCTATGATGGAAGTGATTATGAATGAGGGAGGTGAGATTAACGAAGTGGAGTATGACAGAACGAGCGAAGAGTGGATTGTAGCTATTTTTGAAAGTGTGAAGAGATATATGGAGAATGTTTTAGTGCATAGCTTCTCTTATTAAGGTTGTCACATGTACAACTGGATGGGTTAGTCTTTTTGGATTGTCGTGAATACTTTTTAATTTAACTTTTTTTAGCCGCCGAGTGCGACGCGAAATTTAAAGTTCTTCTCCGCTATTAAAAGATTTTTGTGCAGCGTGAACTACCGATCTAAAGATATTGACCGGAGGTCAGCATGCATGCAATTTCAATTCCATCCATTTCATTGACAGCCCTT